CACTGAGGCAGGGAGAAGGCCATGCTTCAGCAGGAAGCTGGGGGCACCACAAGATGGGAGAGGAAATGAGAAACCTTCATAAAACAAGAGGGGCCAGGCACGGTGGCTCACGCGCCTATAATCCCCAGCACTTTGGGAGGCCAAGACGGGTGGATCACGAGGTCAGGAGAGTTGAGACCATCCTGGCTAACATGGTGAAACCCGTCTCTACTAAAATACAAAAAATTAGCCAGGCGTGGTGGCGGGTACCTGTAGTCCCAGCTACTTGGGAGGCTGAGGCAGGAGAATGGCATGAACCTGGGGGCGGAGTGAGCTGAGATGCGCCACTGCACTCTAGCCTGGGTGGACAGAGCGGAGACTCTGTCTGCAAACCAAAAAAAAAAAAAAAAACTAAAAAAGCAAGAAGGATGATGCTGTCCTCCTTGTCCTCTTTCCCGCGTTCTCAGCTGTCCCAGCCCCATCCCGAAGAGCATCCACCGTGGATCCTGTGGGCTCCACAACAGCAGGTGGAGCCTCGGCCATGGCTGCCTTCAGCGTGGGTGAGTGGGGTACAGAGGGCCAGGGCCCCATGATTTATGGAGGCCACCTGCTAAATCCTTCCATCACCTCCTGTAAGGAGAATACAGTGACAGACTGGGGCCCATCCAGTTCCTGGATCACCTTTTCTGGGGGCTCAGTCTACGTGTTCTCAGAGGTACAGCTTTCCTGGGTTTCAGTTATGTGGGAATAATAATAGCTGTCCTAGATCAAGCCCTCACCCCCACCCCAGACCTGGAATGGACCCGTCAGTGTCAGAGCTGCAGCCAACGTGCTTAACTCCACCTAGGTGGTTCTCACCCTTACCCTATCTCTGGGAGGGGGGTGGCATCAGGCCCGGGTTACAAAAGAGAGATGGAGGCCCTGAAAAGTTAGATGGCTGCACAAAACAGGAGTCAGTCACGGGCCTGGGACCTGATGCCCGTCTGCTTGACTCCAGAGCTCTTTCCGAGATGGTGGAATGACCCCTACTCACTCGGCAATGGGGTGAACTCCACGGCCGACATGCTGGTGATCTTGCTGGGGTCCAGCTCTATGCGGTGGTATTCAAAGATGCTCCTTCGCCGAGATTCTGAAACAGAGGCAGAGCCTGTGGTCAGAAGCATGTCACAGGCAGAGGGCATCGAGGCCTCTTCCCAGAGAGCCTGACAGGTCAGCCTGCTGCCACTGAAGGCAGTAAGTGCACCCAGCAGCCTGGGACGATGATGTTGGCGCTGCTGGAGACAGGGACAGGTGCGGACCTGGAGAGGAGAGTATCGTGGTGTGAGGCTAAGTGACTCAACGCAGAGACCTGGCTGCTCCGGGAGGCAGAACAAAGGAGATCCCGTGCTTGCTTCCCCTTACCTCTGCGCCTTCACAACTGCTATTCCCCTGACCCAAGATGTTCTTCCACTTCTTGTCCCTGTCTAGCTCATCCTTGCAGATCCAGCTTGAGGGCCACTTCCCCTGAGCAGCCCTCCTTGGCCAGCTCCCTCCTTTCCTCAACTCAGGCCAGGTGCCCCCTGTCCCACTGCACTCACCACACTGTGTGGACACGAGGGTCTATTTGGAGGCTGGAGATGTGTGAGACCATGATCATCTGGTCCTGAACCTTGCGGAGTGCTCTGTGAATGTCTGCAGATGGACAGGCTGACTTTTGCATGTTGCTGTCCACCATCCACCTCACCCCTGATGGACAAATGCCCCAGCAAGCCTCAGGGCTTGGAGCCAGGCTTAAGTCCTACTTCGGTCCCTGCAGAAACTTCTCACAGGACCTCAGAGTCACGAGACCCAAGTTCATTCTAGTTCTGCTCATGACTTGCTGGATAACCTTAGGCAAGTCATTTGGACCTCAGTTTCTTGTCTGTGGAGTGGAAAGACAGAAACACCTGCCACAACACCCTTGGGAGGAAAAAGCTGGAATTGTAGATGAAAAGGCTGCTTTTAAAATGGCAATCTGAGGTGCTCTGATACTTCTCTCTAGGCCACCCAGGAACCATGACTTGGGGTTGGTTTTCTTCAACTTTGAAAGGCAGGCAGCCCAGCCGGGCGTGGTGGCTTGCGCCTGTAATCCCAGCACTTTGGGAGGCTGAGGCAGGTGGATCACTTGAGGTCAGGAGTTCGAGACCAGCCTGGCCAACGGGGTTTTTAGCAGAAACCCTGTCTCTACTAAAAATACAAAAATTAGCTGGGTGTGGTAGCACATGCCTGTAATCCCAGCTTTGAGAGGCTGAGGCAGGAGAATCGCTTGAACCCAGGAGGCAGAGGTTGCAGTCAGCTGAGGTTGTGCTACTGCACTCCAGCCTGGGTGACAAGAGCGAGACTCTGAAAAAAAAAAAAAAAGAGAGAGAGAGAGAAGAAGAAAGAGAAAGAAAGAAAAGAGAAAGAAGCAAGCAAGCAAGAAAGAAAGAAAAGAAAGAAGAATAAGAAGCAGACAGCCAGGAGTTGAGCTTTGAGAATGAGTTACCCAACAAGAGGAAAGGGCCACTCAGTGTTTGGTCTGCCCAACACCCTTTTGTCTTCTGGAAACAGCAGCATTCCCCTTGGGGTACTGTGCCCAGCCCATTCCTACAGGTGGACTGCACCACAGCTGCCATCTTCTTCCATGATCCTGCCTCTCTGGCCAAGCTGTGATTGGTCCAGGGCTAGGTATCTGCTGTGAGCTGGACCAATCAGAGAACTTCCCTGGGACTTTTCAACTGTAACCAAGAGGCCTTTTGCTCTCTGGTAATGAAGCTGGGAAGATGCAAGCTTGGAGCCTGTGAATGGCCACAGTTCTCGGCTCATAGGGAAAGCCAGAGAATGAAGCCACCTCGTGGAGAGAAACAGGAAGTGCTGGTGTGTTCTGGGCCCTGGGGTTCTGGGACCTGCCCCGGTGTTCAGCTCTTCTTTTGGTTCTTTGGGCTACTTCAGTATCCTCCGTGCACCCCCTTTTCCATTCAAGCGAGTTTGAATTGGGTTTTCGTAACTAGAAGTAGGTGGGGACATATGTTTCTTGCTCAGCTGAAGGTGGTTTGGAGGAAAATTTCCCAGGGTGGCAGCAGAGCTGAGTAGGGGCATCCACAAAGGGGTGGGCTTCCCGTGCCACAGTTGGGTGTCCCGCCCCCACATTCCCTCCTATATAAGGAATCTAGAGGAGTTTTGTTTGTGTTTCACATAGCATCTCAGCTATATGTCTTTATTGATTGATTGATTGAGACTGAGTCTCGCTCTGTCACCCAGGCTGGAGTGCAGTGGGATGATCTCGGCTCACTGCAACCACCGCCTCCCAGGTTCAAGCAATTCTCCTGCCTCAGCTTCCCGAGTAGCTGGGATTACAGGTGCCCGCCACCACACCTGGCTAATATTTTGTATTTTTGGTAGAGAGGGGGGTTTCACCATATTGGCCAGGCTGGTCCCAAACTCCTGACCTCAGGTGATACGCCTGCCTCAGACTCCCAAAATGCTGGGATTACAGGCGTGAGCTACAATGCCTGACCTGTATCTCATTATTTATTTATCCTTAACCTTGAAATTAGTCCCTCCTACTTAACCCAGGACTGCGCCCCAGTGGGGCTGGCACCAAAGCATGCTCTCTTCCCACCACACTGCCCTGCTGCAGGACACCTCAGCCCCTGAAACATTCAAGACCTTGGAATGTCATTCCATGCAGTGAAAAGAAGGCTGCTCTGGCGTTGGTGTCAGTAAAGATCCCCTGGAGCTGAACAGCACCTGCAGCCCTGAGGCCTGTGTCTGAAATGCCGGTCCCCCCCACTCCAATGCCACTAGGAGGGTGCACCTGCTACCCATGGGCCAGATGCTGCTCCAGGCCGTGTGGAAAGGGGAAAGCAGATGGGGGCACTGATGAGCGCATGGAGGAAGAGAAGCTCGGCCCCCGGAGAGTGACCACACAGGGAGAGGAGGCTTAGGGTTGCCACCGCTGGGCAGATAGGCTCTGCCCTTACCGCCTGTGTGACCTTGGACGAGGGACTCTGAGCCACATCCACACATGGGGCTGGTGATGCCATTCGAATGGTGTTGTCCTGAGAATTAATGGAGACACTGTGTGTGTAACACATGAGGACCCCAGGAGCCCTCGAAGCGTGTGAGCCCCTTTTCTCTCTGCCCCGACTGCGTTTTTGCTATTCTTCTTGGCTGAGACTCTAGGGCATTTTCAGCCTCTTCTAACCCCTGAAACTCCACCCTAAGCAATGTTTACAAACTTGAACATGCGGAGGAAGGATGGCACACATTGCTTTCTCTCTCTTGTCCTTACTCTGTCTGTCTACCTCTGTCTCTGTCTCTAGGACGGCATATTTCTTGTCAGCAAGTCTCTGATGGGTCCCCCAGGTCCCCGCTGCTGTGCAGGGAGAGGAGGCCCACAGAGGCGGCCTGACTGTGGTGCTGTGCTGGCAATCCAGACCCCCTGTTACCACCTGTCATCCTGCAGGCCTCTCCTCTCTTCTGCCGCCCCCATGGTCCGGGCTGCCTGCCTCTCCTGCTGTGGATGCCACTGCCCCCACCCTGGCTTCCCCTTGTTTCTTCCTGGTTACTGTTTCTGGCTTTTGCCCCCACTGGAGAATGAGGTCATGGGAGCAGTGGGGTACGGCAGTGCTCAGGTGGTGAACGGACCTGGGGACCCTGGAGGCTGAGGTGAATTTCCCACACCCCCTCTGAGGGCTGCTCAGAGAGTACTTATCTTGGAATCCGTCTCCCCGCAGCACACACCCACTGACTCCCATGGGGAGAGGCGGTGGAGAGGACTTTAGCCTTGGTCGTCCTTTCCCACCAGGAGGATGACAGCTCCAGCCCTGTAGCTCCTTCCTTTGCCCGACGCCTGCACTGGAGCCGGATGGTTTAAAATAAGATCCAGGCCTCCTCCCGCGTTTCCCTCCCTTCCATCTCAGGCAGATCAGGGAACTTGCTGCTTCTCAGGAAAGCAGCTGGACAGAGTGGGTGGGACGAGGAGTCCAGGTGGTCCCCAAGGCGAGCGCTGCGCAGGTGTGGGCTTTTCAAGAGAGGAGATGAGCTACAGCTGCGGAGACTCATATCAGGTTGAGAGAGCAAAGGAGTTAAGAAGTCAAGTTGGCCGGGCACCTGTAATCTCAGCACTTTGGGAGGCCGAGGCAGGTGGATCACCTGAGGTCAGGAGTTTGCAACCAGTCTGGCCAACATGGTGAAACCCCATCTCTACTAAAAATTTTAAAAATTAGCCAGGTGTGGTTGTGGGTGCCTGTAATCCCAGCTACGTGGGAGGCTGAGGCGGGAGAATTGCTTGAACCCGGGAGGTGGAAGCTGCAGTGAGCCGAAATTGCACCACTACACTCCAGCCTGGGCAACAGAGTGAGATTCTATCTCAAAAAAAAAAAAAAAAAAAGTCAAGTTGTCCTGCCATTCATTCATAAGAGGGGAAACTGAGGTTCAGACAGATTAACCCATAGATGGATACAACTTTGTATAACACTTTTAGATTATTTATTTATTTAGAGACATGGTCTCGCTCTGTCACCCAGGCTGGAGTGCAATGGTGCAATCACAGCCTTGACCTCCCAGGCTCAGTGATCCTCCTGCCTCAGCCTCCCAAGTAGCTGGTATTACAGGCACACTCCATCATGCCTGGCTAATTTTTGCATTCTTAGTAGAGACGGGATCTCCTTGTATTACCCAGGCTGGTCTCCAACTCCCGGGCTCAAGCAATCTGCCTGCCTCAGCCTCCCAAAGTGCTGAGATTCTAGGCATGAGTCACCACACAGGCCACATCTCTTTACAATTTACCAAGCCTAGCCACAGTCTTAAATGGAAAACATCTACTTAAATGAGAAAACTGCAAGAGCACAGCACCACCATGCAGCACATTTGCTGACTCCTTCAGCACGTAGGTGCGGACACGTGCTGTGTGCAGGGGCTGTGCTGAGCGCAGAGCACTCCGTGAGCTCGCAGCCTTGCAGGTTACCTGGAGCTGCACCATCTCATTTGCCCTTACAGCTTTCTGAGGTGCACAGACAGACATCGCTGCTCTCCCCACTTTACAAAGGAGAAAAGTGAGATCGGAGAGGGGACGTTATTTGCCCTAAGTCACACGGTCTTTGTTTTAAAATCAGAGGCTAGACTTTT